CCTTAATCGCAGAACAAAGCAAAGTGCTTAGAACTGGGGAACATGTCATGTTGAGTCAGCTGCTTGCTACTCTGGATTCTGAGGCTGAATGACTCAGCTGGGACATGGCTTGCTTTATTTCCACTACACATACATATAGATTTACTGGTTGACCTTCACTTATGATTATATTTATGGAGCCTTTGGAGGTTTTTAGAATACTTTCTATATGAAAAGACGAGACATTGTCTCCGGAAAGAGATAAGCAGAAAGGCTTCACCACCCTTTCTGGCACTGCCGCCTATTGGCTGCAAAGCGGAAATCCCTCAGTGAAGACTTGTCAATGCTCTGCATATCCCAGCTTATGGCTTTCTATTTTTGGCTTAACACTGCCTTGGAAGCCTGGGAGAGGAGAGGTCTGAGCAGAGTATCCAGTAGAAGGTAAGAAAGGAAGGAAACAAACATTTATTAATGGAGGAATGAAAGAGCAACCCTTACCAACAATGCAACATTGCACAGGCTGCTCCAGAGGGAGACAAAGTTCATCAAGGCCCATAGGACAGAATTGTGAATGGTGCTGAACACATGTTTCTAGGAAAGTACCACCCTGTTATAATTCTGTAAGTCTGTGAATGCTCTTCCCTATGGACATTGCCTGCTTTGATGAAATATTATGTGCCTTACTTTTTTGCTGTTGTTGTTGTTTTAGGCAATTGGGGTTAAGTGACTTGCCCAGGGTCACACAGCTAGTAAGTATCAAGTGTTTGGTCTGAGGCCGATTTGAACTCAGGTCCTCCTGATTTCAGGGTCGGTGCTCTATCCACTGCACCACCTAGCTGCCCCTATGTGCCTCACTTTTTGGAGCAAAATATTATACTACTCATATTCTTATTTTGCCTTCTATTTAGCATATTTAATAGTGTCATCTTGGTTTATTTGTTAATTGGAAAGCACATTGATGTGGGTTCCAAAGCTAGAGTGTTTAGTAGCAGGAATATAATTTTTCCAAAAATCCTGATAAAGTATGTTTTAGCAATATGGCCACCCCACCCCCACCCCTGGAACTCCATGATCTGCCATTGTTCAAGTTCAGACTGAGTGAGTGAGCCAACGAACGGGCATGGGAAACAGATATACCAAAAATGACAAAGTCAGACAGAGAGATGGGATGTCATGCACAGGCTATGTAAACATCATCTCATTGGAAGCTCGCAATCATCCTATGAGACAGAATTACTAATATTGTTATCTCTGCCTGCAAAATATGAATAATAATAATCTACTTCACAGGGTTGTTATGAAGATCAAATGGCATAACATACTTTTTAAGCATTTATGTACACTCTCAGTATACTTTTATTTATTTTAATCTAGACCTGTGATTATGGGGACTCCAATTGAGGAAATTGCCTTTCTTGGTGCAGATCAGAGCCTGCCCTGTAATATCATTTTAAAAAGCTCTCTGGGATACTAAGAGTTTAAGTGACTTCCTTAGGGTCACATATTTAGTGTATGTCAGATGCTTGACTCACACCCAAGTCTTCCTGACTCTGAGGCCAATTCATTCTGCCTTATGCCGTTGCATCTTTTTGTGGTTTTTTAATCATTATATACCAAAATCTAAAGCAGAATTGCTGAGTGTAACTCTCCCATCACTACTGTCCATCTCCCAGATACTTATCTCCCTTCTCAACATCCTTGTAACTGTCTCTATTTTATTTTCTTCCACAGACTTCCCCGTGATTAGTACCAAAAGACTTCAGATCTCTTCCTTGACTGAACAAGGAGCATGGGATATTCCCCTCAAATGGATGTGATCGTCTAATTAACAAGACTCATTTGATTTACAATCAAGAGGACAACTGAAATAAAAACTTTTCTTGGAAGTCCCATGGCTCACCTGTTTCTTTTTAGCTTTGGTATAGTCGGAGACCGCCAAGTACTGGGACTACAAAACTAGCTGGTTAAAAACCAGTGAGGAAAATCCCTGGTCTCGCCCAACTCTCTAAACCTCTTTGTATTTCTCCTATGAAGAAACACCAAAGACAAACTGAGTGTATTTTAGAAACTTTCCAGGGGCCAAGCTGAAATTCGATAGTGAAATCTATTTAACAACATAGAATCTGAATCAAGATACACAGAGTAAGAGCCAGCAAAATGAGGAGCCAAACAGTGATGGTGGGATTACCAGAACTACCTGCCGACTGAAACTCATTTCAAAATAGATTAATTGCTGTTCATTTTTTTTGTTACCCTGAACTGCCTGACACACGACACTGCAGTCAAAATAGGACACACAGCATTGCTTACAATGGATTTCATGCCATTTCTCGGTACCATGCTGGTAGAATAAAAGGCTGACTCATTTCCTTCCACTGCTTGATCTCTTATGATTGCAACAGGGATGCCATATGCTTGGACTAAAATGCTCAGTGAGCCCAATAATTCAGTGAGCCTGCCAGTCTCCAAGCAGGGAGATGCACATACCAGAAACCCAATGACAGAATTCCTATTGCACATTTTATGTTGGTGGATTTCAGGTTCCTAGGGATGAGGTGGGGGAAGTGGAAGAATTTCATAAAAATACTCAGTTTCATTAAAAAAAAAAAACTCTGCTTTATATCTAGGAGATGACCTCTTTCAGTTTCTGACCTTTATTTTCTCAGTCTACAAAATTTCCTTCCTCCTCTTGCCCATGTAGCTAGCTCTGAAGCTGTTTCTAATGAAGCTCCTGACGTGAATATTTGTTTCCTTGTCTTTCACCATCACAACTGTCAGGAATGTCAGCACAGCTCAAGGAACAGGATTTTAGAGTAACTGAGCAGCTACCAGCAAAGAAATACACATTCTGGGAGACTTTGGCATAGCTTTTTTTAATGTGTTCCTCTCTGGGAGAGGGAAGATTTTGGGTTCCTCACTTTTCATATGCCCATGATTTTTTCATGCCTTTCCTTACCTAAATACAGCATTATACCTATAGTGTTTTTTTCTTAAGATACTTTCATTATTCATCTCATTTCTGGAGTTACTTTCATGCCCATTACTGATTTCATCAAGGAAGAGCAATTAGCAGATTCATGAATTATCCCTCCATTTACACTATCATCCCAAAATTAAATGTTCATCTAGTTTTGATAAAAGGTATTTTCAGATTTAAGCATTGATTAAATTGAAGAGAATGAATGCAAGACTTTCACAATTCAAAACTATTGAGAGAAAGACTTTATTCCTTCTCTAAGAAACACAGGCAGAGTCCTTCAGGTCAACTAACACCCAGTGGCATTTTTAAAATTGTCATTGAAAGCGCAAAAGGAAGCTAAATCACTAATTTGGTAACTCTTTTCCCCTACTCCAGCTGAGACAGAGAAAAAGTGTGACATTTGAAAATAGGACAAAAGACAAAGGCATATTAGCAAGAAATTGAAGTGAAGTGGATGCCAGTGGATGCCAGGGTTGACAGGAAACTTTACTAGTGCCATTGAGGTATAGAGAAGTAGAGTCACCTAGAGTCAGGTCCATCATTAGAAACAGGTACAATCCTAGCCTTTGGAACCTAATAGCCTCATAGCCATGGATAAGCAAAGACACTGAGCCTCAATTTTCTTAGCTATACAATGGGGACAATGATATCTATGGCATCTACCTCATAGGGATATTGTGAAATGTGAAGGAGATGATGTATGGAAAGTGATTTTAAAGCATTATATAAATTGAGCTATCATTGTCAGTGAAGTGGATCATGATGGGAAGAATGTTGGAGTTAGAGTCAGAGGACCTGGGTTCAAATTCTGGCTCTGCTATTTATTACCTGTGAAACCTCAGACAACTCATTTGATTTCTCTGAGTCTCAGTTTTATCATCTTTAAAATAAGGGGGTTAGTTTAGAGAGCATTTAAGGTCCCTTAAAGCTCTAAGATTATGATTTTATGACCACCAACATCAATGCCATTATCATCTAGTGCCTTTGGCCTCAGTTACCCAGAGCTGCATTTTGACCTGAACTTTCCATTTTTCTAGACTAGCACAGGGGCTCTTTTTTTTTTGCACCATAGACACCTTTGGCAGTATAGCATAACCTATGGACCCTGTTTCAGAATAATGTCTGTAAATGCATACAACAAAATGCATAGAATTAGAAAGTGAATCACTGATAAAAATCCTTTATTGCCCATTATTCAATACTTGAAGGAGGAGCCATGGCACAGTGGAAAGGTTACTGAATTTGGAGTTGGGTTAAAATACATACATTTACATTTACTACACATGTGACTAGACAAATCACTTCTCTTCTTTTGGCAACATGGTAGTATGAATTTGGCATGTACCTGGAGTTAGCAAGCTCCAGGTTCAAATGTTATTTCAGATAGATACTACCTGTGTGACCTGGGGCAAATTACTTAAACTCTCTGTGACTCAGTTTCCTCATCTGCAAAATGAGAGGGTTGAATTCAGTGACTTCCAAGGCCTCAGATGTATGATTATGCTTTATTATCATATTTATCTCAAATTTATTCAATTAATTATTGAGTCTTAGTTATATCCATTGAGTCTCCTTATATCTATCTTTAATCCAGCCCATCTTTGTTATGGATTATTGGCTTCCTAAAGATTTCCTGGCTGTTGTGGTCACTAGATATTCTTGCTTTCATCTTTACCAAAACCAGATTCTCCTGATAAAGTGGTGACTTCCTTCCAACACCATGTTAAGTCAATAATAAATATTGGCAGCGTTAGCTATTTCCCTTCATCCAGAAAGATGGTTTTGACAGAGGTTTACTCAGGTTTCATTTTCCTTCATGCCAGGTAGATATTAAGTGGGATGGAACATTTTCACAATCTGACATTTTCACATCCTGATTACAATGGGCACCCAAAATAATTTCTCTTCTGCCCTGAGGGATCATGGAAATCTTTACAAATTGCACTCCCCTCCCGAGCTGGTGCCAGTGAGGGAAGAACATTTGGCAAGATGAAGAGCAGGTTTACTGATGGGCAAAAATGGACTTTGCTGTAGCGCTTACCTCCAGAATGAGGTGGGGGGCCACACAGTAGCACCATTCCTTGACCTTGGCGCACGGACACGGTACTTCTTGTTCGTGTTTTGAAGTTTTCCAGATCTGTTGGAAAAGCGGGGAGGAAGAGAAAGAACATTATAATTGTAAATGCCAAAATTGCAATTTGCAGGGGATGGGTTTTCTGATTCAGAGAGGGACATTTAATGGAAAAGAAGTGTATGCCATGAGCAATGACATGAAAACTCATTGGTTTTTTGTTTTTTCTTTTTCAGTGTTCTTGTTTTATAGCCTTCTTCACATCTTAAAACCACAGAATCAATGAACTTTAGAGCTGGGAAGGAATTATTTAACAGCCCTTAACATAGGAGCAGCTAGACAGAGCAATGGATTGAACATTGGGCCTGGAATCAGAAAGACTCATTTTTATGAGTTCAAATCTGGCCTGTGTGACCACATGCTTACTGCCTGTGTGACCTTAGGAAAGTCACTTAACCTTGTTTGGCTCAGTTTCCTCATCTCAAAAAATGAGCTGGAGAAGGAAATGGCAAACCACTCCAGTATCTCTGCCAAGAAAACCCTCCAAAAAGGTGTAATGAAGAGTCAGATATGACTGAAAAACAAAACAAAGAGGCAGGGCAATGGATAGAATACCAGGTTTGGAGTCAAGAAGCCCTGAGTTTGCAACTTTCTAACTATGAATTCACTCAACTCCTATTTGTCTCAGTTTTCTCATCAGCAAAATGGGGATAATAATAGAACCTACCACCCAGGGTTGTTGTGAAGATCAAATGAGATATCTGCAAAACACTTAGCACAGTGCCTTCCATGTAGTAGGCACTATGTAAATGTTAGCTATGATTATTAATGAGGAAACTGAGATTCATAGAGGTGAAATGATTTTTCCTGTGCAACAAAACTTGTTATTTGTAGACTCCAGGTAGTAGTAAAGCAAACTCCACCATGCTCTTCTACCACACCAAACTGCCTTGTTATCTGTCAACCACATGAACATAAGCATCTCTGTTTCTGAAGTTTTCTATTTTAAGCCTTATTAAAGAATCATTAGTTGGAAGACCTCAGAAGGCCATCAGGCCTAACCCCATCATTTTACAGATGAAGAAACTGAGGCACAAATAGGTTAAATGACTTCCCCAACATCATGTAGATAGTAAGTACTAAGCAGCAATTGACTTCAGGGCTTGCTGAGTCCAAGCTCAGTGCCCTATCTACTGTTCCATGTTGCTTCTTTCTTAAGACGTTATCAATCCAAACTGATAAATTAATTAGATTATTCTAACCTTCTGTTTATATGGACTTAACATTCCCAAAATCTACAGTCAAATTGTCCCAACTCATTTAACTTTCCGGCCTTATCTTTCATTCGTGTACGTAGGACATATTCTCTAGCCAAATAGGTCTTCTTATATCTCCAGGATATGTTCATGTTGTCCTACATTTGCCTGGATTTTTCCTCTCTCTGGAATATCATCCCCAAAGACATTTTAAAAATTGTATTTGTATATTATATTAAGCTTTGTAAAGCACCTTTCAAGGAACAAGTTATCCATTTAAGAGGACTGTATTAAGTGCCTACTATGTGATAGGTATTGGTAACACAAAGACAAAAATGAAATAATATTTGCCCTCAAGGGTCTTATATTCTATTATGAGTAAACAATACACATAGACAATTAAATACAAACTATATTGGACATATGCAGAAAGGAAAGCATAATCAGTGGGATGGAAAGGGAGAGTGTATCCAAGATAGATAAGGCAATACTTGAGATGAACTTTGACAGAAGGGAGAGAATCTAATGATCACACGTGAGGAAGGACAGCATTGTGAAAAGATACAGAGATGAGAAATAGAGTATAGTGAATGGGGAAGGCAGTTTGGCTGAAGCACATGGTGCATCCAAGTGGATAATGTCCAAGAAGCCAGAAAAAGTAGGCTGGAATCTAATTTAAAAGCCAAACAGAATGCTTATAGTGTTTTAAGGTTTGCAAATAGCTTCATACATATTATGTTATCACATCTGATCCTCACAACAACATTGTCAAGTAGATGCTATTATTATCCCCATTTTACAGATGAGGAAACTGAGGCACACAGTGGTTAAGCAACTTGCCCAAGGTCATAGAGCCACTAAAGTGTCTGAGGAAGGATGTGAACTCAGATTCCCAAGTCTACTATTTTACCTACATCTCCACCTAATTTCCTATAATTCCCTGTGCCATCTTGTGTATTATTTTAAAAACTTTTCCACAAGCCCTCTAATACTAGTCTATGAGTTCCTTGAGGGCATGGCACATGTCTTATAACTCCACAGAGCCTAGCAAAGGGCCTTCTGTACATAGAATATGATCCCAAAATATCTATTGGCTGAGTGATTTAGGTGTTTGGCACCCTGAAACCCCCATATATCTGAATTTTCGCCGATATTTTAGCATTATGGAGACAAAGACCAGGGTCTTCACTTAGAATTCCTTTTAGAATTATATTCCATCGAAAAACAACCAAAAAAGGAATAGCATGGAAAGGTCTAATCGATTGAATGTCTTGAAACTCACTGCCTGATTTCTCTGAGTGTTAGAGCACATGTTCCATGAATATTATCAAAGCTAATTTAGATTCATTCAGAGAATTGAAGGGATAATGATTTATGACAAGTTTTTTTTTAAATGCTATAGTACTCATAAGGTGTTATTTTTGTGTATTTTTTTTTACTTCAAATGCCTCTTAGATCAATCAGCCCTTAATTCTCCTAATAAGGGGGTGCATAGCTGAAGGCATCCAGAATTATGCCTGGAAGTGAGGCAGCCCTGACAAGCAGCTCATTCCGCTATCAAATAGCGAACACTTATTGGCTATCTGCTAGCCCTACATGAGATGCTGTGGGGAATTCAGTGATGAATAAGACTTAGCCCCAGCTCTCTGAGGGGGGGTTTGCAATCTATCTGAGGGGAATAAGAAGTGCACACAACAAAAGACCCCATTGGAAAACAGTAAATATGAAAGCTGAATGAGTGGTGGTAGGAGCTCAGGGTAGGGGAAAAGATCATTTCCAAGGGGGATTTCAGGCAGGGGCTCTGAAAAGGCAAGAGTAGATCCTGAAGGCTGGTTCCTTTTTTTTTTTTTTAAGTTAAATCAGCTTTTTTTGATTGAAGGGAAAGCAGTCAAGAAACATGATAGCAATCCAGACATTTGATAAAAATAGTATTTGCATGTATTTATCAGGTGCTATCAGAGAGATTCTGAGCCTCTAACAAGGAAATCTGTAACCCTGTGCCAAATTCTGACCTTATTCATGCCCATTTAGAGGCAGGGTTACAAACAGCGGCAAGCTCTCCAGCTAATGGCTGCTGAGGCTAATCAAAGGGCAGTGTTCAGGAATGTTCAGTGTGGAAAGCACTGTTGGGCCTAAATTGGTCTTTTCAGCCATAACCACCCACACAGATGGTAATTACAAACAGTTAGCTCTTTTTCAAATAGAAAGAAAAATGCATATGTCTGTGTAATACTTTTTGTCCAGGCTTTGTAGGATTAAGTTTAAAAAAAGAAATGGAACTTACAGCTTATATCCAAATCCTTGCTGCCATGTGTTGCCAAGCAATCTCCTGTTCCTCCCGCACCCCGCCAAAACAAATAAATAAATAAATAAACTAGGGAGGCAACAGGCCATATCGCAGATTTTTTTTTCTTTCAGCAATAAACTGAGTCTATCTTCATAAAAGCAATGCAAGTTTAGTTTATTCGAAACTGGAACTGGCCAATTCATTGTTAAAATGGTTAAAGCCAATTATTTGGCATTTTAAAAAGTCATCAGACCTGTGATTTCATCAGTGGAAGGAGCTCAGGGTGAGGAATTTCCCCATTTGTGTCTGACACATAGTAGGTACTTAATTAAATGCTTGTTGTTGAATTTACCAATGCAGTTGTACATCTTTGAGGTAACTTAGGGTTTCAGATAATTGCCCAAGGCATTTAGAGGTTAAATGACTTCCCCAAGGTCACATGGCCAGTAGGTGCCAGAATCAAGGCTTGGACTAAGGTCTTCTTGACTATGAGGTCAACTCTTTGTCCCCGGGCCATTATATAAACAAAAACAGTTTGGTTGGATTTCCCAATTTTCAGGGAATACAGATGTAGAGTGTGTATTTTTGGATGAAGATTTTTGTTGGGGTCATGTAAAGTCCTTACCCCCCTCCCCCAACTATTCATTATAGATATGAGGACAAAAAGAATGTAAGGACTCAGAATGAAAAGGAACAATAGGAAAACAGGAAAAAGACAAACCTATTGAAAAACCAGACTGTTGTGTTGTTTAAAGGAAAACTAGAAAGAGGAACAGTGGATAGAGCACCAGGTCTGGAGTCAGGAAGACCTGAGTTCAAATATGGTTTCAGGTACTTATTGGATGTGTGACCCTAGGCAAGTCACTTAACCCTGTTCACTCAGTTTCCTCATCTGTAAAATGAACTAAAGAAGGAAATGGCAAACCACTCCACTATCTTTATCAAGAAAACTCCAAATGGGGTCAAAAAGAGTCAGACAGGACTGAAATGACTGAACAACAATAAGAAATTTGAATTCATATTTTATTGTCCCTTATACCTTTTGCTATTCTTTACTCAGGCAATATCTAAAGCCAGTTTCACTAACCTTATCTAGATGGTCTGTTTACACGCTTTCCATGGAAGGACTTGGTATTCAGCTTTGCATTTGGCTCTCTGTCTTTTGAACTATTGGCATTTTGAAATGGGACAGATACACATCTCATTCAGCAAATGCTAATTCAACATTAACTAGATGCAAGGCAACTTGCCAGGAACTAAAGGTGATAGAAAGATGAATGAACCATGGGCCCTGCCCTCAAGGAGTTCACAATCTCACAGGGAAACCAAGAAATGCATGCAAATAACTATGCTACAAGCTGCAATGTGATAGCTCATAACAAAGATGTAAAGTGTCCTGAGAGCTATGGTACTGCTATTCTTGCAGGGTATTTTATACCAGTTTTGTTAGCAATTACGTTCTAAAGAATGTACCGTTTCATGGCAGCTGTATTTGCGGGTTATATGATGTGTGGTGATAATAA